GTTTTTTATTGATTTCAAGTACATGTGATAGTCGACGAAATTCAATTATGTTTATTGCTTTGCATCCGTCACAATACACACCAATTACATGTACCTACAGACTAAAACAAAAATCATCTCTAACTACGTCACAAGACAAATCTTAACATAGAACCCTCAAGACCAAAGAACACATCACATCATGAAGTGTAGGCGGACATCACAACAATGATGAATAGCAATTGAGAACAAACGGAAAGATAAGTCCATGACAAAGTTGATAAGAGAATAACTATTATTTATACCAATTAATTGATCTGAAACACAAAATAGATCATCGTTTTGTAAAAATTACATAACTAATTAGTGAACAAATATGAAAACAAATGTCACTTGAATTTTCATTTGTTTATTATAGAATGTATAAAATGCTAATTTTTATAAAATATCATTTTGATCATAAGAGAATGCAAACTATCCAGTTATTCAAACCAATCAATGTATGTGAAATGAGTATGGAACCTGTGATACATATCAGTTGAAAATGTCAAACTCTTTAGCCACCGAGTTACTGTTCCATCATACGATATTGATAAAAACTTTGAAAAGGGACTAATATAATCACGTAAACCAATTAAACGAATAAGGTAAACTATGAGAGATTTACAACTCATCAGTAAAGATGACATTGGTTATTTAGTAAATTCTTAAACATCTCTGACAGATATCACAAAATGTGTACGTTTATTTAATTAAGAGTGCTGAATCTTACGAACATGGAGAACTACGAAAGCCATCATCCACGACATACAAGTATTTATTAACAGTTGTCTACGAAAAATACTTCGAATCTATTGGCTAGACACTATCAGCAACAATCTACTGTAGGAAAGAACAAACCAAATTCCAGTGGAGGAAGAAATCAGGAAGAAGTGTTGGAAATGGATAGGACAAATATCGAGGAAAGCACCCAACTGCCTCACAAAACAAGTCTTCACCTAGAATCTTCAAGACCATACAAAAAAAGGAAGGTCAAGAAACATATTACGCTGAGAAATAGACAGACATGAGAAGAACGAACAAAAATTGTACAGAATTAGGAAGGAAAGCCTAGGACAGAGTAAGTTGGAGAAAACTGGCCGGCGACCTATGTTTCATTTGGGGTAACATGCGCAGGTAACTAATTATACTAACTTTGCGTGAAGCCCCTCTGGGGTTACTGCCGTTCTCAAGCCCGGCTAAAAGAGGCAAGGTTGGGACATGGGGTGAGTGACACTATATCGTAAAACAACAACCCGCAAAAAAAATGTTAGGATATTCATCCAATATCCTAAGATAATTATTGGTCAATTCCTATTGGTTAATTTCTACTGGTCAATTTTATGGTCGTCCTCGATATCAATGTCACGTACCCCAATGTTGTTTATTATCGGTTGTCACCGCAAATATTGTTTCCTATTAGCCGACTTAACTGTCAATGTCACAGACTTCGATGCTGTTTCATATTCAAACTAATGTATAAATACGCATTATCTGTAACGTGCCATGACCCGGACACAGGTCCCTAGTCCGGGATCCTAATTCTCTTCTGGACTCGGACCTCGTACTTTCTGGATGTCTGTAAAATACAATTTCTACTTCGTATCAAGTCTTCTCTTCTTTTACTCAATATGGGGGTTGGGACATTTGGATTTGAATAGCATGTCGTGTCGCTGGATCCTCGCTCACGTTTTCCCACTAAGTAAACTCTTAATAGTTCAAGCATATCAAGTTGAGGTGTTTACATGCAGGCGTAACAAAAAAAACCCTAACCAATAAAAATCAATTCAATCTAACAATAACACAATATATTTACATATTATCACTCGTGTTCGTTTAAAAACAATATTTATTACTGTTTTTTTTTACAAAAAAAACATTTTATTCATAACAATATTCAGAAGAAAGGGGAAGACACGGAATCGCCATATTCAGATTACAATTAGGCATTATTAACAATTATAAACACACTGCATGGTAAACGTATTATGTGTCCGATTCAAATAAAAACTTCAGTAAAGTGTACATCGATCGATTAGATAAAATTGATGAATTTATTTAAAGCATCTGCTGATTAAAAAACGATATGTTTATTTATATTTAATTTGTTATTCTGAATCTTTATAAACGCGATTCAATTAGATTTTTAAGTTTCTAGAATGTTTCTGAATGGAGTTTCTGTCACTACTGATGATTAGTGATAAAATACAATGATTATTTACAGCCGTATAGATGAGTGAATTTCACATGACTGACTATTCGACGGAGTTGTCTACAAAGTCACGTGTCATTAAGTTAGGCCTTTGTTTTAGGGAAAGTGTCGGTTCGGTTGTGATTGACCAAGTATATACTACTACAACGAGTTGTACATTCACTATTTTGAACATGATCACCTTTACTCTGCAGAATGATCAGTCAATCAGTCAGTCACACTCTCATTTAAACACTATGAAAATAATTCTACTGCTTGTGTTTTATGTGAGATATAATCACGTGTGTTGTAACAGCCATTGCTCGTATATTCTGGGACAACCAAGTAAGTAATACTGTTTTAAGGAAAATGATGGCGAATCAGTTGATGAAGTAGTGAATTTTCATCATTTGGGACATGTGCTACGTATGCCCGAACAACGAATGCCTCGACGAGCTATGTTTTGTGATGTAGGAATAGGTTGGAAGAAAACTGAGGGGCGGCCAAACCAAAATATGGCATAAGTCAGTGACAACTGGATTCAGTCATGTTGATGAGTGCAGACTACCTCGTTTGCAATGGCGAAGGTACATCAATTCTATCTTTCTCTCTGCAAATTTATGTCACTGAATTATACTTCTTGAACAATATTTTTGAACCCTAATCTTGCCAATTACTACTACCTCTACTACTATGGGATTTGAATTGACAGTTGCGTCTCTGTGCTTTCAAGGTATGAAATTTTGGGCTGATGTTTGTACTTACGAAGTTCTACGTTGTCATTGACTGATACATAATCAAAATCACTGACTTTTGGATTTTCCCCAATAAAAAACTTAAAAAACCGATGGACGATTCTCATCGATTAATTCCTAAAGGTAAGCTACCTTTATCCGAAAACGGCAAAACAGAAGTCTTGATAAGCGTAGAAAGTATATTCTACAAACACTCAGCAAGCACAATACAATCAACCACACAAATCTCGTTTATTTATACATCGTAGAAACGTCCTTGGGACAGTCACAAAAATAGCACACCAAAATATACAGCAGCCAATCACAGCCATGGATTTTCCTGGCGGGAAATGAAATCTCAAGGTCAACTGATCAGCCCATGCTAGCAGACCTGAAGTCCAAAATAAGGCATTTATCAAGCGAGTTCTGGGAATCTAACATCCCTAACAAAAAGGACGGCAAATCAGTTGATGAAGTAGTGAGTCTTCATCAATTGAGCAGGTTGGGACATATTCAACATAAACCAAACCACTGACTGCCTCAACGAGCTATTTTGTGATGTATGTGTAGGTTGGAAGAAAGCTAGCAGCAGCTAGAACAATACAAGAAGACACAAATCCATGAAGTCAGTGAAAACTGGATTCAGCCATATTGATGAGTGCAGACTACCTCGTTTACAATGGTGCAGGTGTATCAATTCTATTTTTCTCTTTTTAAGTTCATTTCACTAGATTATATAATTTTTGAGTCATATCTTCAAACCCTAATCTCTCACGATTACTGCTGATACTTCTACTACCTCAACCACTATGAGATTTGAATTGATAATTGCATCTCTGTGCTGTCACGGTATACCAGTTTGAATCGATGTATGTACGTACACAGTTCTACGTTGCCGTTGACTGATATATAATCAAAGTCATTGACTTTTGGATTTTCTCCAATATAAAACACTTAAAAAAAACTGATGGACGATTCTCATCGATTCAATCTCATACCAGCTGGTTTATCCACTTATAAATTCTTTTCACATCTACCATTTTGCTCATGTATACAAACGAAATCCAAAACAAAACCAATTGACAATCACAAAACACAACTGTAAACAAATTTCTTCGTTCGATTATTATTTAATTTTTCCAGGGAAAAAAAAAGAAAATCAAAACTGTCAAGATTGTGCAAAAGAAATGAAAATATCATTTGGTATATAATTTTTTTTTTTGTGTTTTCTGATCTTTCTTTCAAAGTGATGATTATCGTAGCCCTAAAAAAAAACCAGTCAGCAAACAAACGATCAATAACATTAAAATATACCTGTACACACACACACAGAGAGAATACAACAACAGCAACATCAGCAGTAGTAGTAGTAAACGAATTACACGCCAATTATGAATAGAATGAGGCGAGATAAATAGAGAGAGCGAGAGAGACAGATAGAAGTAGGAAGAGAAAGTCACAAAAAATGCATACAGAGATGAGAGTTTTCAAGTGCATTTTCATAATTTTGTTTTTTTTATATAGGTAAAGAGCACATTCACCATGTAGATATACAACACAGTGTGATTGATAAATCATAGGATATGTGATTTAAAGTAAGTCAGTGAGTGAGTGAGTGAGTGAGTAGGTAAAAGAAAAAAGTGGATACCGAACGATATTGTCATGTTGTCCCATTCATTATTCAATGATGACAAAAATAATAACACAATTTTTATGCCAGCAATGTCAAAATACACTAAATAACTTGTAAATAAAGAGAATTATCTGAAGAGAAATGAAAAATATATATATACCCACAAATAATAAATCAATAACAAATGAATAAGTAGTAATCGAAAAATAAGTAGAGTAAATCTGGAAATCTAAACTATTTCTGAACAACAAAAGAGGAAAATACTGAGAGACAGCGAGAGAGATAATCAATATGTGGTCTTGAGACGACATCAGTTTTGAAGAGAAGCGAATTGATTTACAAGGAGGCAAAAGGCGATGCAGACACTTGTAAAAAAAATTCTTCCTATTCGTTGTTTATCGTTGTTATGATGAAAGTAGACAATCTATTTCAGAGTATCATCTGATTGTGAAACATTGTCCAAATTATTCTCCGATAATGAAGTAATCATTGACTGTGCACTCATATGTGCTACACTATGCCTTCGTTGATAACTTAATAGAACTGGTGCAACAAATTGTTCTTTACTATTATTATTCATTCTTACAGGGAATGAATGTCTTGCGATATGATCACGTGTTAACATTTGTGGTGATGAAGAAGAAGTAGAAGAAGAAGAAGTAGGCATATGATGAAGAGCTGATGGCGGTGCCGGTGCGGGTGACAGTCGCGGAGGAAGTGGAGTGATTGAATCATTACGTTGTATTGCATCTGGTTTTAATGGTTGCAAAAATTGATTTGGTTCACTGTTATTGCGACGCATCGATAGAACAGCGGGTATTTCTGATTCTTGACCATTCTCCTGGTATAAATAAATAAAGGGAAAGAAATATGAACAGTGTGTGGGAATTAATAAATACATGATCGGATAATTGATTAAAAAAACAGATTTCCAATCTAAATGATGATGATTTACTTCTACATTCGTATCACTTAACCGAAATCGATCTCATAATCTACGTAGAGTATGACAATGAATATATAATACCACGACGAAACGAAATCAGAACGATGAATGAGTTAAAACAATAGAATAGGACCTATAGATAGATAGACAGACAGACAGATACAACGAAGAACTTCGTACGTAAGTACAACAGTTCACGTCGCCATACCACGTCAGCACAGAGACGTAACTGTCAGTTCAAATCCAAGAGTGATAGCGATAGTAGAATTATTAGCAGTAATGGAGAAGATTAGGGAGCAAATATATGATTCGAAAAGTATAATTCAGTGAGATAAATTTAGAAGGAGAAAGATAGAGATGAGGAGGAATTCAGATTACAATTTAGGACAACACAAAGAGTGGATGCACCTGCGCCATTGCAAACGATTCTGAGCCATGTCGTTCAAGGTCTCTAACCATTGGTGACTTTCGTCTCGCGGACCCCAACCAGGTAGCCTACATTTACCAACATGACTGAGTCCACTTGTCAGTGACTTTAAGGATTTTTTGCTATGTTTTGGTTTGGCCGCCCTAGATTTCTTCCAACCTACTATTACGCTGCAAAACATCGCTTGTCGAGGCAGTCGGTGGTTGGGCATACGCAACATGTCCCAACCACCTCAAGTGATGAAGATTCAATGCTTCATCTATTGATTTGCCATCCTTACCTAGAACTCGTTTCCTAACGACAGCATTGCTTACTCGGTCGTCCCAGCGATGCTGGTTGTACGAGCGGAACACCTTACTGCTGTCACATCCCTCTACAGTCAACAGTACTAATTAGTCCTCAGACCTTGTGTTGCTGCTTCTAGTCTTACTGTTCTCCAATCGACCTGCCTGGTATGGTATAACCTTCGCGAATATATGTTCCAGCCATTATAGCTCGATTGGATCATCACGATAGGCAAGCCCAACCACCAACGTCAAGCTAGCAGCTACGATCGGGTACGATAAGAAAGATTAAAACATTGAGAATATCTCTTGAAAAAAGAGAAGAATGCGAAAGATGTTTGGAGGGCGAGGAAACAAGATCTCGTTCGATAATCCGGAATAAATAAATGCATCAACGTTATTGTTAGTGATAATGAATAGTATTACCTAACCCAATTGACAAAGAAACCCTAACCGGTTAGGCTTGACTTCATGAGCTAACATTCCCTTGTTGGTTTGACCATCGTCCCCAATGCTTCGCATCAACTTAATATCATACTAGTTAACATTGCCTGTCAACACATATCTTCTAAAATAAGATGAATAGTGCTGAAGTGTAACTTTAAGATTACCATAAGAAGGATTATTATTTATATTCTTACTCTATGGTTAGTAAAAACTGACATTATTATATTTTTTCATTAAGCGAATTCTAAGATTTTTTTGATCCTGTTCGGGTGTGAAACAGTGTTCACTGAAGACAGTGTATGAGGTTGCGCAAGACCATGAATTGATGGCAGTTAGACATTAACACTGTTAGATACCGACCCACTGGTCTAGAGATCAGGCGTTTGTGCGCAAAACCATAGGTCTTGTGTTGAATCCTGCACGCAGTGAGAGTCGTGAATACACTCTCTTGGTGAATTCCAAACCATGACAAAACGGCCATCCAGTGCTTCCAGGTTTTTCCTAATGGCGGTCTAACATTGATCGATGCATGATTTCAAAAAGTAACTCAACAATCCCGACAACTCCATAATGCAAGTCATGAAATAATTGTTCTCCTATTATTCTCTTTTTCTACTGCTGCTTATGATTAAGTACCCGACCGAAGCTGCTACTTTGACGTGGTGGTCGGGCTTGCCTATCGTCATGACCCACATTCATTTATCACAGTGCACAGCAAACGATGCGAGTTCGTGAAACGTCGTTCCTGGTCTCCTTAAACCCCGTTCTAAACTACATGTTGGATCATTTAATGTACGGACATTGTGTCAAATAGGGCAACAGGTATCATTAGCTGGTACTTTAGAATCTCGTGACATCTATGTGTGCTGCGTCTCGGAAACGCGCATATAGGATCCGAGTAGCAAGATTCACTTGACCTCGCCATGTCATGATAAAGCAACTCGATTTACCCTTCGTGTATCCGGTAGCCCTGATTAAGTACCCACACCCCACCACCATAGTCAATGGAGATATCGCTAAGCTCATCAACACTGAATTTTTCTATACTGCCTTACTTATTCACTATGCTTAATACCACAGTGAATAAATAATTATCGACAACAGTTTCCGATTCATTTACAGTTATTGAATAAAATTATACAGTAGAAACACTTTCTCATTATACAACGAATGTTTATAATTCAATGAAGAGATTAACTAAAAACATCAGATGATGGTCAATGGATTGAGATAATACAATGAATATATAATGATGTAAAAAGATAGATAACCTCTAGCAAACTATATCAGTTTCACTTTTTTTTTAATGTGAAATAAGCTAAGAAAAAAATTAACTAACAAATGGTTGTCGATTCGAAAAAGAACAATTCAGTGAAAATATGCAAACAGGTTAACTTGGAGCTTATTACGAAATCTTATTGGAGTTGGTTACTTCAAGTGATGTCCACTATCTCCATCCCTTTTTAAATTTGTCATAGACCTGCTTCTGGATATAACATTATCTTCGTCTGAACTTTCAGGAGTAGGTTTTCTACAAGGAAACTCACATGTTGACCTAGAATATGCTGATGATATAGTTCTATTTGGTGAAAATACTGATGAAATGTAGTGTCTCCTGACTACCCTAAGCTTCAATGCAAGCATGTTCGGTATGCTTCAGGATTGGCTTGCGTCGGCACCTAAACTAGTAACAGGAGGTGAAATATTCGAGTGTGTTGAACGCGTCACTTATCTCGGTAGTCGCATCAGTGATGATAGCCTAATGACTGACGAAATCTCAGCTCGGATACAGAAGGCTCAGTTAGCTTATATCATTTATAGCTCAGGCGAGATATCCGTTTGCTGACTAAAGCACGAGTGTACTGCGCAACAGTTCGATCTGGCTGTGAAACATGGCCAATCAGAGTAGAAGATATTCGTAGTTTATTAGTATTCGATTATAGATGTTGTTGAAGCATTGCTCGTGTATCCTGGGGCAACCTAGTAAGCGATGCTTTTGTTGGGAAACGGGTCCTAGGTAAGGATGACAGGTCGATATTGAAGTAATGAAACTTCACCAGTTGAGGAGGGGCGGCCAAACCAAAACATCAGACAAGTTCATGAAGTCGCTGACAAGTGGACTGAGCCATGTTGGTAGGTGTCGACTACCTGGTTCTGGCCCGCGAGATGATAGTAATCTATTGTTAAGGACCTTGAATGACATGAACTCAAAACCGTCTGCAATAGCACAGGTGCATTCATTCTTTGTCTCCTCTCAAATCTTAACCTTCAGAATTCCTCATCACCACCATCTTCCTTTTTTAAAGTTTACTTCACTAGATTCTACTCTTTGAATAATATCGTCGAACCCTAATCTCTCCGATTACTGATAATAATTTTACTATCTCTACTACTATGGGATTTGAAGCGATAATTGAGTCTCTTGGATAATGTAGTATGGCAACTTGAACTTATGTACTTACGTACCAAGTTCTGCATTGTAACTGACTGACTGAATCGGTATTGTTAAACATTTATTCAAACTTAAGGATTACATAACGGATATGGTCAGAACACACTTGAATATAGCTGAAATCATGAACCGATTTGAGTTCAACAACTATTAGAAACTCGGAAGCACCAGACGGCCATTTCACCCTAGTATTGGACTCACTGTCAATGTGCACCCATGACTTTATAACCGTGGATTGAACTCAGGAGTTTTGATCTTGCACGTGACCGCTTAACTTTCAGAATCCAATGATGTACAAATCTAACATTAATTAATCTACAATATTGCGTGAACGTTTTCAATTGTCTTCGGAAGTGATTAGCTTGAAGAGGAAAATTTCCAAAATTCTAGTAAAAAGCAGTAATCAGTGGAGTTCAATCATGTTCAGTATAAGATAGGTACTCATCAAAAACTTGTACACAACTGGATGACGGTTCAGTGATCTACTTACTGGTTGAACGTTCACGTACAAAACCAAAAGTCTTGGATGCTAGGGAGAAGAAACGGATGTTCAGTTCACTCAAGTTTTCAATGATTATCTAACTTAGATCGGCTTTTACCTATCAATCAAGTTTTAAAACTACAAAATCAAAAAAATTTAAACACACACTTACTGTATAAGTTATATCATTCAAATGTGATCCTCCACGTTGAACACTTTTTAAACTATCATATCGATCATGTTGATCAACAAATGTGTCTTCATCATTCACTGACAAAATATGAGCATTTTTAAGTAGAAGTTTACGTGCTGAACTACTACCAGCCATAATCCAACCAGTAATAATAGTGAATATCATTAATATTGCCGAGAATATTAAACCCAATAAAGAACAAATCACTAAAGCATGACTAACTGTATTAGCACGTAAAACAATGAACATAAATATATTTAATTGTAATAGAAACACTGAAGCTAACATACAACTAACTGCAAGCCAATGAATATGTGCATCAATACGACTAGGTAAATAAGCATAATAGAGATTATAACGTTCAACGAAATATTTCAATATCAGATAGATTAGACCTAAAAATCAATAATGAAAAGAGAAAAAAAATGACCGATTAAATTTAATGAACGGTTGGAAAAAGATTAACAGAAAGTTTATCTTATAATAAATACATACATGTATATATATATATAGATAATTCACTCAATTTCAAATTCACATCGGAAGAATTTTGTTCTCTATACACTGCACTACTATAAGCATTTCTACTTTTATCAACAGCAGTCAAACTCGACGAATAGCTTGGAAGAAAGCCAGAGGCGGCCAAACCAAAACATAGCAGAAATCCATGAAGTCACTGACAAGTGTACTGAGTCATGTCGGTAGGTGTAGGCTACCTGATTGGGGCCTGTGAGATGATAGTAATCGATGGTTAGATACCTTGAATGACATGGCTCAAAACCGTTTGCAATGGCGCTGATGCATTTATTCTTTGTGTTCTCTCAAATCCTAATCTTCTGGATTTTTCAACACCTCTAGTTTTGACTTTCTAAACTTTTCTCACTGAATCATATTTCTTGAATATCTTCTAATCCTTACCTCTTCGATTACTTCTAATACCTTTACTACCTCTTCTACTATTGGATTTGAATAGACAATTATATCTCTCTGCTGTTGTGGTATGGCAACATGAACTGATGTACTTACGTACGAAGTTCTACGTTGCATCTGACTGACTAAGTCAAACTATGTTGAATGAGTTTGAAAGTTTATCACTATTTGAATTCAGTTGTGTTATATTTGTGTCAGATACTCAAGGAAATATCGATTACTTATCAAGATGAATGGAAATGAATGTAAACATATGATATCAGTCAGTTAGTCAATCATTCAGTTGCAACAAAGAACTTCATACACACGTACCTAAATCAGTTCAAATTGTCATATTACATTAGCACAGATGATGAGTCTTATGCAATGAAACAAAACGATTTTGTTACATACATAACATAGGGGACTAGTTAAAGTGACAGTGTTGTATCATTCTAATGAAGCGTTATTGCAAAGAGTCAAAATGGGGTTCTACGAGTAACAGAGTAAGCGAGCGCTTAAATAACAACAGCAACTATCAATAGTTGGTAGAATGTAATAAACGAGATCGAATGTATCGCAGTGTTAGTTAAATTCCCACTTGCGGGTATTGTGCATGTGCACTGATGATAAGTCCCATACTATAACGAAAGGGCTGCTCAGTGCTACCAGGTATTCTAATGGTGGCCTATCGTTGATCGATTCATGATTCAGTTTCTTCCTGGCATGGGACTCATCAGCAGTGCACACCCAAGACTCGCAGGATTCGAACTAAGGACCTTAGGTCTTGTGCGCGAACGCTTAACCTACAGATCATTGAACAGGCCCTGGGTCCGAACCCTGCGAGTAACGGGAGTCGTGTATGCGCACTACCGTTAAATCTCATACCATAAAGAAACGGCTACCCAGTGCTTCAAGGTTTCCAATGATCTATTCATGCTTTTAAAGTAACTCAACAACTCAACCCACAACCGCATCACATTCATATTGACTAAAATTTTCGAAAGTCATCAATGGTTAGAGACCTTGAACGACACGGTTTAAAATCGTTTGCAATGGCGCATGTGCATCCACTCTTTGTGTTCTCCCAAATCCGAATCTTCTAGATTCGTCAGCACCTCTACCTTTGTCTTTCTAAATTTATCTCACTGAATTATACCTCTTGAATATTATCTTCATATCCTAATCTTCTTCATTACCAGTAATACTTCTACTATCTTTATCACTATGGGATTTGATTTGACATTTTCGTCTCTGTGCTGTGGTATGGCAACATGAACTTATGTACATACGTACGAAGTTCTACGTTGCAACCGACGACGACTAAAATTATTGTCGAACATAAAACTATGTTACATAATACAATAACAATATATCTGTTCATTATGGTATGTGTATAATATAGATTATAGGAAATACAAAACCACTTACCAAATGGTGTAATCAATGGACATAAAATACTATATGCACAGATCACAGAGAACACGCATAAACTCCATGCATAAAACAATCCAAATTCAAATTCAAACTGACTAGCCTGTGTCGTCAAAAGAGAAAGATGTGAAGAGAAAAGAAACAAGAGAGCGAATCATTGGCATTGTTTAAAACAAATAATCAATGCCTGAATTATCAATTCAGTCAGTTATCTTAATCAACCTAATAAGACTTCACATTGTGGTGATATTACAATCTACATTAATAGTAGCTTATAAACTTTTAAAGAAATTTCTGTTTGTTCAAAGAATTTTTTGAGTTTGTGTTACTATTCATTCACACATATATAAAGGTAGGTGTTTCAAAGCTAACAATATGAGTTGATGATACACACGAGCAACGTTTCGGAGACACCTATGATCAAAAAACCAGTTACCTACGAATATCTTCTACTCTCACTGGCTATGTTTCACAGCCATAAAGTAAGACGGAGCGAACTACTGCACACAGTACACTCGTCCTTTAGTCAGCAAACGGATATCTCGCCTACGCCATAAGTGACGCAGGTTGGCAAAAGCCAATCGAGCCTTCTGTATCCGAGATGAGATTTCGTCAGTCCCCAGGTTATCAGCACTGATCAGACTCCCCAGATACGTGAAGCGGTCAACACGCCCAACTACTTCACTTCCTATCACTAGTTCAGGTGCCGATGCAACCCAATAGGAGGATGATGACAGAGAGCTTAAAGGAAATGAATAGAAGGAAGAGTCGAACGAAATATATGAATGAGAGAAATAGTTCGGAAGGCTTGAGCGTGTCTTAGAAACAACTTTAATACATCAATGTAATCAGTGTTCCAATACAGATTCTAGTGGGATCTTATTTCTTCGTCACTCACTTATTGTTTCTATACTAAAAATTAATCATGAGGAAGAAAAACACCTCCTTTTTTGTCTCCAAGTTTGAAACTTTCGAGAAACTTTTAGAAGAAAGATCAAATCATTATTTGATCAATTCAAATGTTCAATTATCAAACATGTGAAATATGAAACGGTAAAACAAACAAAATCTAAATGAATTAGAAACGTGAGAAAAAATATATATCTATGTAAGATTTAACATCACTGGAACAAACTTTAAGAAATCACACATCATCTAAGGTGTCACAACAAAAGCGATTTACGATTACTAACTAAAATATCACTGAAAATAGTTTTGATGATCATATGAGTTTATAATAAAATTACTTTTCTATCAAGAGATGAAAAATATGAACTTTCTGTTAATTCAATAATTATTTTATCTTTAGTTTCAGTTCAATTGATAAACAGGCACAAATCAATGAAGTCAGTGATAGCTGGACTAAGGCATGTTAGTAGATGTAGACTACTTGGTTGGGGTCCGGGAAAGGATAGTAATCGATGGTTAGAGACCTACATAGACTTGACTCAAAACCGTTTGCGATGGTGCGGGTGCATCCGTTCTTTGCGTCCTCTCGAATCCTAATCTTTTGAACTCCTCATAACCTCTATCTTTCTCCTTTTAAGTTGATTTTACAAGATTGTACTTCGCCAGTCATATTTTCGAACCCTAAACTCTCCGATTACTGTGAATACTCCCACTATCTCTACCACTGTGGAATTTGAGCTGATAGTTGCGTCTCTGTGCTAGTGCGGTAAGACAACCTGAACTTATGTACTTATGTACGAAGTTCTACATTGTAACTGACTAACCGACAATTGATAAACGGATGAAAGATTAAACTAAAATTCATAGTTTAATAAATAGTTATGACATTTCACTATGTGTGACATAAAAATCATCATGCTAATAAGTACTAACAACCGAATGTATAAAACAGAGTTCACAATAATTTGGAGGTGTATAGTGCCACTTATACACACACTGCGAAAAGCACTCAACTGCGTCATAAGACAAGCACTCACATGGAAGACACTCAATGTCAACTAAAAAGAGGAAGGCTAAGGAACATATTACGCCGAGAAATGGAGAAAGACATGAGAAGAATGAACGAAAACTGGAAAGAACTAGAAAGAGAAACCCAGGACAGAACTGGTTGGCGAAACTTGTCGGCGGCCTATGCTGCATTTGGGGTAACAGGTGTAAGTTAGTAAGTAATAGTGTAGTGAACGAGAACACATGTGGGGCAACCGGATTGTATTTAAGCGAAAATTACAGAGTTACTCAGTAAAATAGGAAAACCATATCGTAAATCGTTAATTTGCAAAATATCAGTCATCATATCGAATTGGACTGTTCCTGTTGCAAAAACATCAATCCATTTCACTATTCATGCGTTTCATACAAATTCCATTGTGTTCTAACTCTTCTTGCTTTCTTGATCTTTCCCCCATCTTCTGCTGCCAGACATTACGTTGACCCTCACGTCATATACTACTTATAAGTAGCTCGCACCACAATAGTACCACTCCATAACTATCATGTTAGAAGTCAATACGTCAAGTTTTACCCAAATAATTAACAGGTGCTTGACTTATTAATGGATAGATTAACAAAATACACGTGTCCACATATGTAATCATTGAATCAAGGAGTATAGAAGATTCTGTGACCACTGAGTGATCGTCTAAGACAATGGAAGAAACAGTCAATCAAAATGGCTGTGAAGCAGTTTATTGGAAGAGATTGTGCAATTATTGTGAAATTGAGTTGAAACAGAAATCCCATGTACTAGATACCAACTTAGCTGTCTAAAGGTTAATGCTCGAAGCGATATATATGAAAGATCATGGTTCGATCTTTGACAAGCTGATGGACGCACACACACGTTAGACAAATTTCACATCACGACGATAAAGGTCACTAGCGCCTGCTTCTCTTCAATTATTTAATGTCAACAATTTAATGTCAAATCCATGATGTGAAGTATCGTATGCTTTTAAAAGAGTTTAACCTCAAAATACCAGTAGGTAGGACTGCATTTTCATAAAAAAAAATTACCTATCACAATAACATGAATCAATCAATTACAAACAATCAGTAGTAAGCAAGAAGAATTAATTACCTTCGTACACCAACTTTTTTCAGCTTGTGATTTACACACATAAGACGACATGCATAATTAAACTAATTCCGAAAATCGTACAAGTTCCAATGCTTGTCCCAATTAAATGCTGCAGTAATTACATAATTTACAAAGAATGCACCATTATCTGGCATAAAAAACACATTCCCATTGAAATGATTGTGGTCCTATGGGAAGAAATGGACTTGGCTCTTCGTGAAATTCGGATTTATCGAGTGTATTGGAATCGTCATGATTATTAATACTACTTAGATTGTTATTAGTAATAGTTATAGTGGTGATAGTAGTAATAGTATTAGTAGTAGTCATAGCATCATTATTATTATTAATATTATTACCAATGTTTGAATTATTATTATAACTTGCTGGGACTAATGGTATGAGATGCATTTCCGGGAAAAGCCATTGAAGAAGAGCAGGTATTCTAGAAATAGATATATGTACATATTACTGTTATTAGTATGATTATTATTATTATTGGCTATATGAAATGTCACAAGAAATTGAAAAATTTTCGGCAACACAGGAGGAGAACGGACCACACAAATACAACGAGAACATCATATATGACAGGAGACAACTAGTGTAGTGAACGAGAACACAGGTGGGGCAACCGGATTGTATTTAACGAAAATTACAAAGTTACTCAGTAAAATCGGAAAACCATATCGTACATCGTTAATTTGCAAAATATCAGTTCATCATATCGAACTGGACTGTTCCTGTTGCAAAACATCAATCCATTGTCACTATTCATGCGTTTCATACAAATTCCATTGTGTTCTTCTAACTCTTCCTTTCTTGATCTTCCCCCATCTTCTGCTGCCAGACACGTCATATACTACTTATAAAAAGCTCGCACCACACTAGCAGTAAGCAATACTCTTCATGTGGCTATGTATTTACAGAACCTGTTAGCTTATCCTATTCAATGCCTACGAAAGCCCTGCACGTGCTGGTGTGTTAGGCATCTAAGGAGTGATTTCAGAATACACAGAATGTTACGAAAACCTAACATCAAAGAAAATCAACAAATTTGACATGTTCAGTAGACGACAGTGAGTGATAAAACCTTTCAAAGAAAAGACTGAAAGATCCATTTCTGTTGGGGATGTTAGATCCCCAAAACTCGCTTGGTAAATGTCTTATTTTGGATTTCACGTTTGCCAGCATGGGGTGATCAGTTCACATTTAGATTTCATTTCCCACCAGGAAAATCCTTGACTGTGATTGGCTGCTGTGTATATTAGAATATACTTTCTACGCTTACCAAGACTTCTGTTTTACAGTTTGGGATTCAAGGTAGCCTACCTGGACGCTAGTAATTGTCTCGTTCGCGTTTATCGACTAAGTTGAACTTGTAATAGATTCAAGCGTACCTAGTGACGAACATAACAAGTTCAAAGTTACTAGTATTTTTGGTAGTTCAATCACATTGAGTAATCTCTGCTGTACGAAGACTGAATCAGTAAATATTCTGATTAGCATGTTTTTTGAGCGAGTCGGTTTTCTAAGCGATTGGATCTACTTAATACTGAACTGATTTGAAATGATTAAGTTAAATCTTCTTAAGGATACCTTAAAATATACCAATAGGGAATCAAATCAGGCTACTTGAAAATCTTTATCACTGATCTAATACTGATTAATGAGAGAGAGATAAACATATTGCCTGGTCCTTCGGGTAATAATTGAATGCTTTGAATTGAGTTTTAAGGTAGGTGGATATAAGTTTCAGTAACTTGACACCATGTGCCCTAGGTTGACATGTTCAGTTGATTGGAGGTAGTCGATAGAATTTCCGCAAAGCGTAACATTGATTTTCTAGGAACTGGTGCTCCCTGATATATGATATCCCAAGTCATACAGCTTCATAGTGTGGGGCGTTACTAATGAGTTATTGGGGCAGTGATCGATCTAATTTAGGACTGAACGATATTCTTAACTGATCGATTGTTGAAAAGTCAACAGTGTCATGTCTGTATAATAATACTTCATAGTGCTCGTCTAATTCCGCTGAATTCTCAGTAAATCGAGATCGCGTACACTGTTTAAATGTTACTTCATATACTAAATATCTTGATTTTGTTTAGAAATTAATTATTACTAACTAATTACTAAACTAATTAATGATTTTTCTATGCACCAATATTGCAGTCAAGTAGCCTAATGGTCAGAGGGGCTTTTGGTTTTGAAGTTAAACTATGCTATAATATAATGATTAGAGATTAATTTGACTCTAACAAATGGATATGATCACAGTTGTATGTTGATGATCCGGTAATTGACAACACATGACAGACTACTTTTTAAAAACCAAAAATAAATTAGCACCTATCGGAAAAATACAATCCAAAGATACATTTTAGGAATCGCTTGCATTTGTAATATCAATCAATAAACAATACTGAGGTAAGATGAGTTAATATATATGCCTCAGGCGGTTGATATGTTCAGCAACCACCTACCTCAATGCAACACATTTGTTGATAATAGAGGGATGAAAGCTAGCAGAATTGTAATCAAAACATGATATCACTGTTCATGATGACTTTGACTGTCGTTTTAGTAAGGTTAGAGTTACCTAGTCCCAGTCTGCTGATAAACTAATTGCAAAGCGGTTGGATGAATAGGCTTACACAATCGATCCAAACGGATCAGATATACACACACACACTCTCTCCCTCTCTCAAATCATATTATTAAGTAATATGTGTGGGTGTGTGTGGTAGACGTTGCCTTCACTACTAGATATAATTATATATATATTTATATATATATATATATATATATATATATATATATATATTTATTTATTTATTATTTAAAATATCCATGTATTCATGATTTTAATACACTTTCATATCACTGTAGGAACTATTTCAATAAGTTAAAATACACTATGTAAGCTTAACAGCATCATGAAACATTGGAACAAAATAAATACAATAATAACAACCACCACTTACGATGTTAGGCCAAGTGAAGGAAGAATTAAAATCATTAAAATTAAGCAAAGTGTATGTTTTAATCATTACAGTTAAATGTAGTACAGGTTTAGTCCAGTGCCAACAGTCGATCAGAATTGAATACAATATATTGGCAGTAAAGCAGATACTGACCATAGAATAATTGATGGAATAAATTGAATCAATAGCGGATTCTATGATGTGAGAAAATTAAAAGATTTAAAATAAAAAAAGGCGGAAATTGCTGGATCATAGATTTTGCAAGAAATAATCTCTATCAAAACGAAAGCTATGCAGGATTGTTATTTCACCGTGAATCAAATGATTGTTAGACCAACATTGGTAACCTCGAAATACTGGACGGTCATCTCGTTCGAGTACGAGACATCATCATCAAGTGAGCATCGAAGACCCTCGTCTAAACAATGATTATTCACGATTCAAGAGGTGAAATAACAATCCTCATAACTCTATGAAGAAAAATCATAAATTACTCACTAGTGACTAGATTTGGAAGGTAGTTACTCAGAGTTCTTGTGAAAAAGTGCGACCTTAACCCTGTCAGATATAGGTAATGACCGCCGAAGGACAATGGACTAGATTGCAAAAAATCCTTAGATTAATCAAAGTTAAACATTAACATCGTTGAATGCCGGCTCAGTGGTCTAGAGTTTAAGCGTTAGTGCGGGAGGCCAAAGATTCTGGGGTCGTGGATGGCACTGATGAGGAGTCCCATACCAGGACGAAACGGCCCCCAGTGCTTACAGGTTTCTGATAGTGGCTTAACAATGATTTCATGATTTCAACGCAAAAAAAAACAATAATGAGTTTTTATTAGTATCTGGGGTTTGTACATGAAGGGAAAAGTAAGATTCTCCGATACAACACAACATGTGTCAAACAAAATCACTCTTGATGGACATGCCTTGGAGCACGTTAACACCTTTACATATCTAGGCAGCATAATTGATAAGCAAGGTGGATCCTAAGCAGACACCAAAGTCACAATTTTTCAGTAAAATATCAAAGCAGTTCTACTGTATGTGGAGGAAATTCGGTAAACTGCCAAAGCCATCATTCATATGATAACAAGTATTTATTAACAGTGGTCTATGCAAAATACTTCGGATTCGTTGGCCAGCACTATCAACAACAACCTTCCTGTGAGACGGAACGAATCAGATTCCAGTGGAGGAAGAAATCAGGAAGAAGTGCTAGAAGTGGTTGCGACACACCGTGTGGAAAGCTACCAACTGCGTTACAGGACAAGCCCTCACTCGGAAAACTCAAGGTCAAAGGAAGAGAGGAAAGCTAAGGAACACATTACGCCAAGCAATGGAGACAGCATTAGGGAAAAACCAAGTTGGACGTAACTGGAAAGGAAGCCCAGGACAGAGTAGGTTTGAGGAATACTGGTCGGCGGCCTATGCTCCGTAAGCAGTAACAGGCGTAGGTCAAGTAATCTGGGGGGTTTGCGGAGATGATTGGATTTGATAATTTACGTTACGAACTGATTTAGTTAGACAACCATAGAAAACTAAGAAGTACTAGACAGTTACATTGTTCCGGTATGAGATCCTTCACAATGAACATATACACGACTCAACTTGAAAGTCTGGGGTTAGAACCTAGGTGGAATCGTGGATGCGACACTCATGAACACCCTCATGCTAGAACAGAACAGAACTCTAATAAATGTCCATCGGAGTATAGTTCTGATGCAAACTTTTGAACATATTGACATGATACAATGATGAGTAATTTGTAAGCTTTTAAAGTGATGAGTAAATCTACCTTACGTAATATCGTACTTCATTTCATCTTATCAAGACTATTTTCATATTGTTTCCAATGAAACCAATTATTCTGTTAAGGAAAATGTCTACAGGTTTGAAAATTACGCATACATACAATGAATCAGAGATAGACTGGAATCTCCATGTAAGATTTCTTTATGAAG